GTGTCATATTTGGAGAATCATGATTTGCGTCATGGTTCTCAAACATGATATTTTTTATAAGACGAAAGGGATATTTTTTTCACTAAAATTTGTTTTATATATTTTTTACTTTATAATCGTACAACTTTACTCATGCGTTTTGCTAGTATATTCTGTATAAAAAAGAAAGGACAGATCATACACTCCTGGATATATTAGAATTAGATACGGCAATCTTCAAAGATTTTAGCAAAGCTGAGGATGAGCTGTGTTGTAAAGGCCATTGTCCTCCACAAACCACCAAGAATTGGCCCCCACCAGATGAATCGGTTGGCATCCACGTAAGTGTACCTTAATTGAGTCAAGCATTCAACTATCACAAAAAGAAAAAAGTGCATTTCTGCTTTTTCATAAGTGGTTTTGATCCACACATCACACAACTATAATCATGTGTACTTACCTCGTTACCACACCACACTCAGAACTTTCGTTTTTTGACTTTATTATGCAATATTTTCAGACATTGGAAATATGGAAAATTTTCATCTTTTTTTCAGAAACTACAGTATAAGAATTATATACATAAAATTCCATATTATTATAGACCAAATTCTTTTTTGAACCCTATTTTCACTTGAAATGTGAGTTTTTATTTATTTATTTATTTATATATATTTTTTTCCTTCATTTTGTGTATTTGAGTGTTATAATTTTTTGCATTCATAATACGATATTGAAAATCCTAAATAGAAAGATAAAATGTCAAGTAAAAGGGAAACTTGTATCTATTATTTTCTTTTTCGAATGCATAGTGATATTTTTTCACTGGCTTTCACGTACCATGTATATAGGTGATAAATTTTATATAAGTTAATACAGATTTTATCTGATCCGATATTTTACGAATTAATTGGTGACGAATTTAGATTTTTTCAGACCGTTTAGGACTGGATGCCTAATCCGATTCGTGGCTTACCCTATGTGTAAGCCCATGCATATTCCTTTATTCTTGGAATGCATAGTGAAAAATTTTCACCGGCCTTCACCATGAATGTTGTCGAGCCATATTATTTCTATTATTACCTGATTGATTGAGCTTTGCCGATATATATTTGTCTTTAACAGGTCTTAAAATTCATTTAGAGTATACCACTAGAACATGTTCTAGTAAAATTTTATAATTTGACCAAACTGAAATCATTTGATTTGATTTTAAGATATTTTGATATAACATTTATAGGACAGCCATTTAAAAATACAAAGAATGTACTTTTTCAATCAATGTATATCATAAAAGAAAAAACCGAGGGTATACTTCATAATGTATCATAAAAAGTGGACTACCTTAATTAAATTTTATTTATTTATTATTATTATTTTTAAAATTATCTTCTTTCTCTTTTCTGTTTTTAAGGTGTTTGTAGAACATGGACTTGAGTACTGCAAAGATTAGACCAGAAATAAATAAATCATTATATGGTGAAATTTAAAAAGTAGTATTTCTTTTTTCCCATTCAGTATCAGTGAATATAACTGTATGGCATGGCCATGCTCATAATCATATGACTAGCCCTAGCCCTAGCCCTAGCCTAGGGTTGAGTCCATCCAACCAGAAAACCCCACTTAAATAGTGTATATGAGCGCACCCAGGGATGGCGCCAAAAATTTACTACAGTAAGCACTATGGACAACGTTTAATATTATATAAATGCAAGGTATAAAATTTTCTTAATAAATGATGTTATAAAAATTATTTCAAAATCAACAAGTGCAAATTGTAGATGGATAATGTTTGAGGTAATGTTAATGATATCTTTTAAATTTGGTGGTAATAAGAATTCTTTTTAGAATATTGTTAGACAATAGAAATGTTCTTATAATTATTAAACTTTTTATATACAAATTAAATATAATAATACATGTCTTTTTTTATATATATATTTTTTTACTTTTTGAATATTTCATTAATTTATATCCAACAACACAAAATATTTCCCGTTAACTATTTAGATTTTAGGATATCATAAATCATTCTTTATTTTGTTTTCAATATTATGTTCCTTTGGTGTCTTAGAATTTAAACTAATATAAAACATCAATTTCACACAACATGTACATCAGGGAGGATGTTATATATTCCTTTATATGGAGTATTTATATACTTTTTTTTTTTTTTACAACATATTTATATACCTTCATTCCACTTTCTTTGTACCCAAAAAGAAAATTTATATATATATATATATATATATATATATATATATGTTTTAGCAATGGAAACGACTGTAGTTGAAAGAAAAATATCAATGTTTTGTTCTAGCCATCTAGGTGGTTCGCGCATCTTATAGTCGAACAATCTAATCAATCGCAGTTTGTACCAAAAGAACATCTGACACCATTTTATGCCTATCCGTTCATACATGGCTTGTGTTTTTCCTCTTTTTCTTGGTTTTTTCTTTACATGAAAAAGTGCACGTCCACATGAAAAGTGCCCGTTCACTTTTCCCACAGGAACTATATATTTTTACATGTTAATTTACTTACAAATAAATATACTTATTATATAATTTTTTATATATTAATCAGAATCAAATACAATATTAGTAACATTTGTCACTGATTTTGTGATTACATATGTACAATGAATTACTTTGAATTTTCGTGGGATAGAATTTATACACTACTTTCGTCCTATTATAATTATTCATTTCATAAATTGTGAACTTAAATTATGTGTGAATCACAATTTATGATATGAACAATTATAATGGAACAAAGAGATTATTAATTTTGTGATATATGGACACTTTGCACAAACTACTTCAACAATAATGCTCGGAGATTAATTTGTAAAATATAGAATACAATTTAAGGCAATCAGCTTGTGCGTATTAATAATGATAAATTACGCTAACCTCCTTTGAGGGTTGGTCAATTAAACATAAGTAAACTAATGCTTATTATTTTGATATTCTTTAAACTCATTAGATTAGATAACTTCGAGTGTGAGAAGTCAATAATTCTCTTATAATAATATATTACATTACAAATATTTGTCAACCTGATTTACATGTGACTCATGTGTAATTTGTCCAAATATGTGGAAGTTTGTGTAATTGACCCTCTTGTCTTTTCATACAATGGAAGCACAAAATTGGCATTTTATAAAATTTAGTTAATAGGTCTATGGAAAAGAAAGTGGCGGGAGTATCGATGAACACACACGCTAAAGCACAAGTAATTTAAAATAATAAAAGTTGAACGGTTTATCAATTTATAATTTATCAAAACTTCAAGAGATATCAGTGTAATTTACCCAATAATAAGAAGTAGCAAGCCAATAATCTCACATGCCCAAACCAAGAGTTACCATATTGTAGGATGGGTATGGGTCCAATGACCTCATAGCCCTCTCACATCCCCAAACCAAGAGTTACCATATTGTAGGATGGGTATGGGTCAAATGACATCATAGTCCAATGGTTCCACCAAAGATATAAAACCACAGGCCTAACATGGCTTAGATATGCTGGGCTTTTCCAATATATTTGAAGCCCAATACATGGACTTGAAGCCCAGTATTTACCAGGCTGTCAAATGGTAGGCCCATTTTACCCCCACTTGGACCTCGAACCATCCGACTTCAGCCTTAGGTGAGTGGATGTTATATCAACTAGGCCAGTAGGCCCAAGAGTTTGCTAAACGGAACAATTATCATGGGCCAATCACTCATTTTGGAAATAAAATTATGATCGCATTGGTCCATCTAGACAATCACTCATTTTTTTTTTTGTGCAGTAGAATGAAAATCGATTTCTGAATTACTAGACATTAAGAGGTACAAAAGGATATATTTCTCTTTAGATTCACTTCTTTGTAGCATTAATCATTCAAAATATGATGACCTCAAAGATCAGCCCTTGATGATGGGCTGTAGCTGGTAAGAAAATAAATTACTAAATAAATAAAACAAACCAGCCCATCATATGATAATTTCCCACCATTGTAATATTATCATATATCATGGCCATAATTAACCTTTTTTGAAATTAAATTTTTGATCACTTAAAAATCTACAATGGCCATGCACGGATCTGTGAAGCGTTTAGTGGGGCCATCCGCCCTCACTGAAGTTTTTTATTGTTGTATTTTACATCCTTAAATTTATAGCTTTTTGCATATATACCCATAAAATTTGAAAATTGTCCCTACTGAAATTATGAAAAAAACTCTCTATATAAATGCCCCCCAAATATGAATTCTTAGATCCGTCCCTAACAATGGCTAAAATGAAATACCAAAATAAGAAGAATGTAAGGTCTAATTCTGAATAATTGTGATATATACCAAACAATCAAATTAATTAATCTTTTCTTTATTCATTCACTCAAAAAACGATTCTCAACAACTCAAAAAAAAAGTGTTTAAAGAGAATTATAAACAACAGTAATATAAAAATAAATATTTTTAAACTAGATTTTTGTATTAGAACTAAAAATAAAATAAAAAACTCTGCAAAAAAGTTTTTAGAAAACTCAATCATGTTTTCAAAAAACTTATTCATGTTTTTAGATAATTGTTTTTTATAATTCTTTAAATACAGTTTTTTGTTTTATAAATTCTTGATAAATGTTTCAAAAGTTACAAACCAAGAGATTGTACAATTTATTATTTTTTAAAATAAAAAATTATTAGAAAATTGAACCATGCAATCCTATAAAGTCCAATTCTGAATAATTGTGATATATACCAAACAATTAGCATATTCCATGGCCATAATTAATCTTTTCTTGAAATTAAATTTTTGATCATTTACAATTAATGGCTGAAAATATCAAAATAAGAAAGAATGTGAGGTGCGATTCTGAATAATTGTGATATATACCAAACCGTAATCAACTACCAGCTCAAAACGCCGCATTTTGTTTTATTAGTAATCTTCAAGAAAAACTATCGATGTTTCTATTTCCGTAACGGGTCTGTTAATATATGTACTTATCAATATATATAGGTGTGTGGGATCAATCATTCGATTGCAGGGGCTCACACTCAGATAATATCAGCTGTATAAGCGAGGGCTCACACCAGAAAGTCCAAGAACACACTTCTTTCCAACTCTCTTCAAGTGGGTTTTCTCTAATCTTTGCTATGGGCTCACACAAGATAATATCAGCTGTATAAGCGAGGGCTCACACCAGAAAATCCAAGAACACACTTCTTTCCAACCCTCTTCAAGTGGGTTTTCTCTAATCTTTGCTATTACTTATGTGTGCTTTCATTTCTACGATTTCTTTCACATAACTTAGATTATTGCTTTGTTCTTTTTGGAAATTGATTCATTCCTGTGCCATCTTTACCACTGAAAGTGAAAGAGCTGTTTGTGTTTTACTGTTTTTCATGGGTTTAGAGTTCTAATTTGGTGGTACCCACTTCACTTGGAGAAATTTGAAGAACTGTAGTTAATTATTGGTAAAGCGTTTTGGTCTTTGGTCTTGATTCATACTTTTAGGATGAGTACTAGTACCAATTTGGTCGGTTGTTTGTGTCATCCCTGTACTTTGAAGATTATGTCTTTTTGGGTTCCTCAATAAAAGAAGAAATTTGAAGAACTGCAACTAATTATTTGAAGGGTTTTGGTCTTTGTTCTTGATTCATACTTTTAGGATGAATAGAACCAATTTGGTTGGTTGTTTGTGCTATCTCTGTACTTTGAAGATTATGTCCTTGTGTGTTCATCAATAAAAGATCTAATGAAAAGCTAGAGGGTTTTAGGTTTATTTCTTTTAATTGTAATTTTGTAAATATAAGTTTATAATGTTTTGATTTGTATGGAAACATTATTATAATACATCACAAGTTCATCTAGTTAACACATTTAGAACCTGTGATGTGTTAGAACTTGTGATCTGTATGCTTGGCTTTTGGGTTATTTCATGTGTCATCTCTTGTATGAACTGTCCTTGAGTAGATTGGGTTCATAACACATAAATAGTACATGTGCCGTGCTCATAGAACATATATGAAGGAATTATTTACCTTAGTTTGGAAGAATTAAACTCAAGGAACACGTTCGACGATAACATTATCTTCTGATAAAGTTTGGTAAAACGAATTAGAAATGAGAATAATGGGATTAAGAGAGATTTCTTGAACCATGTTCTTGAGACATTTTTATGTAAATTTACTTGGTAAGGTTTATGTGTGGTGGTAGCAAAGACCCGAGTTTCAGAATCGAATCTCCCCCCCCCCCCCCCCCCCCCCCCCTTCCTTCCAGGTCCATATGTCGATACATAATCAGTTGCTTGAATTGTTTACTCTGAGCAAGAAATCCTGGTATGAACCTTTGACATGACATCTAACATAAAAAATAAGGTTTATTACAAATTAAATGTACAGTTTTCAAGTTCACTTGTCTTCACTGTCAATTGTATATCATTTCTGTAAATATTACAGTGTAAAACTTCATCCATTCATAACTCCTATTTTAGATTTAACCAATCAAGTTGTCTTGGCAACATATTACAATGATCTTTCGTTTTTTCCCCAGTCATGATTCCACAGATAGCAATGGCGGTGACAGTTGGTCTTCTGGGCTGGGTATATGTGTCTTTAAAGCCTCCCCGCCCAAAAATATGTGGTTCCCTGGGTGGTCCTCCTGTTACTTCACCAAGAGTCAAACTCAGTGATGGGAGGCATTTGGCCTACAGAGAGTCAGGTGTTTCCAAGGAAGAGGCTAAGTACAAGATCATTGTCATTCATGGCTTTGATGATTCCAAGGGCATGAGCATGGCCGTCCCCAAAGTATGAAAAACTCTGTTTTCTTAACTTCAACACATTTGCTATTTGTTTCTTTGAATTTATGGCTGGAGATCTCCGTGTTTACACTTCAAAAGTCTAAAGCAAAAGCATCAAATGCTGTATTAAGAACAAACCAGATTGCACGTTTAGGAGAATTCGTATTTGTTTTAAAGGATATTAGCCAAATTAGAACTATGTTTGTCCATTTTCAAGGTTTGCATGTGGAATGACATCAGAACTTGGTTAAGCATCATTCCGAAGGAAACTTAGATAAAAGTTTGTTGAATGGGATTTTACTTATGTGTCAACTAACATTGCTTTCTGGTTTTCTACTTGTTACATCTACCTTCATCCATCCCTATATAATTACTCTTTATGTGACTACATAATAATAATGCAGATACATAAAGATATTACAGTATGTCAAGCTGCAAAATAGACATATTTTGTTCTGTACTACAAAAGTGTTATTTTTGAATAAAGCTTAAGATCAGACAAATATATGACTAATCTTGAAACATGATTAGGTTCAAGCTACCACTTGATCACCTATAACCACACTACTTGTTCGAATATGTGCCTCTGCCACACATAACATATCGGATGTTAATTGTGCTAACATTGTACCATTCTAGTATACCTGCTTCTATTCATGTCTCTCTCTTATCCTTTTAAGTGATTCAGATGGGAAATGAAATTCTTCAATTTTTTATTATTTAATTCCAGGAACTTATAGAGGAGCTACAGATATATTTCCTGTCATTTGACCGAGCAGGTTATGGTGAGAGCGATCCAAATCCAAAGCGCTCTGTGAAGAGTGAAGCATTTGATATTCAAGAACTAGCTGACAAGTTGCAGATTGGATCTAAGTTTTATGTGATTGGTGTCTCCATGGGAGCATATCCTATTTGGAGTTGCCTAAAATACATACCACACAGGCATGATACTTCAAATAATAGCTTCATCTTTTCTCCTTTTCTGTTAATTATTGATTTTGTTTAAATCCAAACGAAATTCACAGGTTGTCAGGAGCTTCCCTAGTTGTTCCATTTGTCAACTACTGGTGGCCTTGTTTTCCGGCTAATGTATCGAGAGAAGGCTTCAAGAGGCTGCAACCGCAGGACCAGTGGACATTCCGAATTGCACATTATGCCCCTTGGTTGTTCAACTGGTGGATGACTCAAAAATGGTTCCCTACTTTAAGTATCATGACAGGGAACATGGCCATTTTCTGCCAACAGGATTTAGATACCATTAAGAAGCTCTCGGAAACGCCAAGTGTTGGTCGGGTAATTACATCTGTCCCACAAGTTATGGTATCATTTATACAATGTAGATAATAATATGCTTTGTTAGTGTGACCTGGAAAGGACATCATATCTTTAAATTCTCAAGTCCATTTAGCTTTTGGTGTTGATCAACATGAGGCACATGCATCATATTCTACCATGCTTAAGAGGTTATGTGCCATAGCCACTCAGAGACCCTCTGCAGAAACCTCTTGATGAGTATAGTTCACAAAATGAGTGACATGAGGTCCTTATCAAACAAGTGGTGTCTGAAAACCTTTAAAATTTATTCATCAGTCTGCTTTTCATGACAACAGTAACGAAGAAAACGTATTAAATATCAACGAAACACTTAATTGAGTAAAGATTTTCATTTTTTTTAGATGAAGTTGGCAGAAATGTGCAGTGGTTCTTCAGCTGGTAACAGTTGGTCATGGTTCTTTTTGCAGGAAAAGGTTCGACAGCAAGGTGAATATGAATCTCTCTTTCGAGACATAATGGCTGGTTATGGCAAATGGGAATTTGATCCGATGGATGTAACTAATCCTTTCCCTAACAATGAGGGCTCGGTTCACATTTGGCAAGGCTACGAAGACAGAATCATCCCCTTCCAACTAAATCGTTATCTTTCAGAAAAGCTTCCCTGGATTCGATATCATGAGGTTCCAGATGTTGGACATTTGTTAGTCTTTAACAGTACTTTATGTGAAGCCATCTTTAGGGAACTCTTGCTAGGATGAGCTCCACCTACATGTTGTGGCGTCTTTGTTCTAATAAACTGCTTAATGTCCTACGAAAAATGTTGTTTGTAAAATGCTTTGGCGACTATATAGACGATTATATAGCAAAAATTATCAGTTATTTTCTTGTCACCATGTGAATAGATGAAACTTGTTTTCTGATCAGAAGTTATCAAAATCAGCTTTGTAATTTATGGTTTCAGAGATTCCCAATTTTAGAGAGATGTTATGTTTGGAGTACGGAATTAACATCTTGAATTTGAAATGGAAAGAAATTTGGTTAAAAATTTGTCATGAGTGACTATCTCATGATTTACCTTCTTATAATAAAATATTTAATAATTGGGCAAATTTACCACTTTTTTTTTTTTTTTTTTTTTTTTTTTCTTGCGTTTATAGAGCTTATTTTGGTTAAATGGAAATGGTAAGAAATGAAAAAAAATAAAAAAATTTCAAACTTTATAAGAGATTAGCAAGAAAAGAAAAATTTTGCGAGAAAGTAATTTTCTATAATCACCAAACTTTCCTACAAAAAAATTTGGTTTCTTAAGAAAACTATATGAAATTCTAATTATAACCATAATTTTTTATATTATATCATACAAAATTTTATTATTTAAATTTTTATATTAATTTTATTCTTTTAAATATAAAAATATTTATTAATTATAAATTTAGTTAAACTTGTCATATTTAATAAAAAAAATAGACAATTTAGATCAATCATATTTTTTTTAGGGTTAAATGCTTTGGCACTTCCCAGGATTTGAGTTTATTGATCTTAGATTAAACTTCAGTTCCAATTATCCTATCACACTTATCCTAAATGTCTAAATTATCCTTGTCTTTATTTTCTTATGTCATTGATGACATATGGTATAAAATATGAAATGACAAAATTACCCCTCACCAAGACCAACACTGCCTCTTCGACACCACCGTGACAGCAACCATCACCAAAACCCACCCAAAACCTCCTCCACCTCTCTCTCTCTCTATGTATGTATGTGTATATATATATATATATAATGCCTTTAAAATAATAAAAAAGTATAATTAGTAAGAATTTAAGGTAAAAAAAAAAAATTGTAGGAAGGTATAATAACACGTGAGGGGTATAAAAATCTAACAAATTAAGATAAAATGTACTTTTAACTACGAAGGATAATTTAGGCGTTTTATTATATCGATTTAAAAAAGAGGGTGTTAGAGCAAATTAAACCAAATTTTATGGAGTGTAGCTAAACCTCATAGTGTCACATCATTTTTAACCCATTTTTTTTTATTAGCTTTCATGCCATCCATGTTAACTAAATAAATTTTAAAAAAAATGTATTATTATTATTATCGTTTTTACTACTCTTTCTTTGAATTTCACTCTCACTTCGGCTAACTTTAATAAAAGTACCACCAGGAGGGAGGACGGATGCGTCAAGGCTGTGACCTAGCGGCGGTGATGGTGGTCGTTGTGGCATTGGAATTGTTCGGATCGATGGAGAAGATAAGATGGGCACTACGGCTGCGGCGGGGTTGCGGAGCTGGGCACGGCGGAGGTATCAACGGTCGTAGAAGCGGAGGTAGACCACGAGGACAACAACGATTTCGCTAGAGATCATATTAAGCAATGGCTGCGATTTCACCGTTGACAACCATGTTTGTTAACAACCTTTGTTAATTGCTGGGAGATAATTCATCTTTTGGGTTTCAACCGATGCAAGGTTACATTAATGGGTAAATGCGTTATGCATTCTTGGTAGAGAAAATTATATATATAATTCTCTTACTGGCTTTAGTTATGTATTTTTATTTTTATGCATTAGAAAGCTAGCATGTTTCCATTTGAAACTAGAATTTAAAATTAAGATGGAATTTTGTATAATTGGTTCCTGTTGGGAGTTCAATTTCCTGGTGATTAAGTTGAACCAGCTTAGCGCTTAGATGGTTCAATTTGGGTCATTCGTGCTTTCTTCTATATTATGCTTGTCGAGGTTGTTTGCTTTAACCCTATAATGTGCTTGATATACGAATCATAAATTGATGATCTTAAAAGGAAATATGATTTGTGATGTTTTTAATTAGGAACGAAATAGGAAAGAGGATGAAGATGGCCACTTGAACAGTCCAGAACTGATTTTCTTTTGTACCCATTAATTCTTCTGGTACACACTCCCCTAAATTGTTTTAAATAGTTTCTTTTCTTTTCTCAACTTTAGTTTTTTCAAACAAGAATGTTATCCTTCTTTTTCTTTTTCCATTTCCTTTCCGGTCATAATTTATCTTAAGACAAATACGTGTTCTGTTCTTTTCTTTCGTACTGAATGTTATCATTTCTTTTCTTTTCCCTCCCTGGTTATCTAGAGGAAGCCTTAATGAATTAATTGGACTGCTATATATATATATTAAGCTGTCACAAATATAAGCATTTGGCTAGTTTTAAGTTAATAATCGAAACATATGTAGAATTGAATAATAAATGTATCATTATCTTTGAAATGTTTTAAGAACAACTTTTTAGGAAATGATTTTCAAACCTATTTGTCAAGTCCAAGGTTTCTATCCCTTTGATGTAGTGAATGAGACTTATGCTTGAGCTTATCCACTATATGTTTGAGCTTATTACTCTTAACTTTTAAATGTTTCAAGATTATCTTGACTCCCAGAAGCCCCAGAACAATGCTATACGTGTTGGTACCTGATTGGTCAGGTGCTGTAGCCCCACCACAATAAACTGCTATATATATGAGGAGAAATCATTAAATGGTCCTGCTCCATGTTTTAGGCCTGAGAATCATGATCCTTTTCCTAATACTAATTGGGAACAAAAATACCATTTTTGTGATTGAAGATTCTGATATGTCTGCTAAAGCTGTCCCTGGTCTTTTTGTTCTTGTGATATTTGGATTGAGACTGAGCCATCCGGTTGTTTAAATGATATTTACAGAATTAATAATATTTTTTGTGATAGGTTTCCTGATATGGGCCAATCAGACCTTGAAGCCTCCCCCTCTGAAGGTATGTGGGTCACCAAATGGTCCACCTGTTACTTCAACTAGACTCAAACTCAGTGATGGAAGGTATTTGGCTTACAAAGAGATAGGGGTTTCCAAGGAAAAAGCCAAGTGCAGAGTCATCATCACTCATGGCTATAACAGCAGCAAGAATGACCTCTAAGTGCCACTCTCTCAAGTATATACTCCTCTCTTACCCAAAGACTTTGCAAGTTAATTTGTTAACTTTTTTTAGAAATTCCTCTTTATAATTTTATCTTTGTAAAGCTTAGTAACAAATTCAACTGTAATAGCCTTTAGCTATCCTTTGGTTAGCTCTAGGCTTTGTTGTTTTGTTTTTGGAAGTGCTGTCTTCCTCCTTCTGTACATTCTGTTTCAATCTATAAAATTATCTTACTTAGCACCAAACTAAATAAGTAATTAATAAATTTAAAAAAGAAAAAGAAAAAGGAACAAGACCCTTAAAGGTCTTACTTTGTAGACCAAGTGTATGAAGAATTAGTTATAAGTTAAGAAGTTTATCTCAATCAAGATGTTTGGATGGGTGATAACTTGGGCCATGTAGAGAAAGAAATGAATTCAGTTGAAATCAACTGAAGTCATCCAACCGATCTACTAGATGGGACCAGTCAAATGGTGGGTTCATCTCTTTTTTATGGTAATGTCTAAGGCTAAGGATGAATTCAAATGTAAAATTTTTATCACCCATTCCTTTTGTGTTGTTTTTGTTCTAATATTACCATTCTCTACATTCCTCACAAGCCATGGCCTTGAGGTGTGCAAAAATCCTACCACCAGCTGCCAGTGTAAATGATATCCTGCTTATCTGTTGGTCTTTAGATTTGAACCCGTAGTGTCACCTGGAAAGGAGTGTTGGTAGTTCCCATGTTACACGCACATATTATATGCATATATCACCCTCCTCTTAATTTCACTTTATACTTGCAAGAACTGCATAGACTGTTGTTTGTTTCATCAATACTTGGTCTTAAATTGAAAATCTACTGATTTGGAAAGCAAATTTGGATATTTTTTGGGGGACTCATTCAGTTATACTGCAAAGTTTTCGTTATAATGATTTTGATGTTTCACTTCTCTGTTCTTTAGAAGTTGAAGATTTAGTAGTGTTCAGAAAACTATTTCAAAAATAAATCTGACAGATTTTCGGGTATTTGAGAATATTTATAAAAGTCATGGCTAAAGAAATTTGCTTCTAAAAGAATGTTGTTTGCTGAATCTTATAATCTTCATAAATTTACATTTGGGAACAACAATTTTGTGCTTGTACTCTATGGTTATCATGCCTCCATTATTTTGCCACATTCATCAATTTACCTATGTTGTCTTATTTTCTGTAGTAATGTGTTTCACAGCCATTGGCAACATTCTTTATCTTGCTGGGACATCAATGTTAATTCGGAGACTCTAAATAAATTATCTAATTCTTGGACCAACATTCAACTTTAAAGACACCTAGTTGCACATCAGTATGATGCTTAGGTCGGAAAAGTATGTTTGATATCTATATGGTTGGAGCATTGACAACACTATACAAACAAAGACTATGAATCAAATACATACCAAACAGGTATTTCTCTCTCTATCTCTCTCTCTCGTGCTTACATAATTCAATAGAATTGCAAGAATTTTAAGAAATTTATTTGATTCATACTGAACTTTCAGTCAACATTGAAATTTTTATTTAATATAGAACTTATGAATTCTATAAATGTCTGGAACTCAGCATATATATATATATATTTAAAAAAATTGAGCCAGGACTAGAACTTCTTCTAAAACTGCAATATGAAAACCACTTTTGCAGGCTAGCTGGGATGGCTCTAGTAGTTCCACTTACCAATCCATGGTGGCCTTCTTTGCCTGTCATCAATCATTGTTGTTTAAATGGCTGCCCTTTATTTTTATCCTCAATTTTAAGACCAACAAGATTTGTTGCTATGTAATTTTTCAGATGCATACTACAATTTCTGTTTTAAGCCATAATGACTGCATTCTTTGCAAGACAAATTTGAATGATTTTGGACTTCCTTTTCTCTGAAAACAATTCTCAAACTTTTTCCTAAAATCAACACTCTTTCCAATTTAGTTAAACTATCATCAAAATGAAATTTGAACTTTTCTGCTCTCAAAAAACTGAACTAAGCAGTTCATGGATTGTGGAGCCATATATTTCGTTTCTCGTGATTGTGTAAAGGTCATGTTTCTATGCAGAATAATGTACTGCAGCAAGATGTCTATGAATCCCTCTATCGAGACGTGATGGTGTTCTATGGCAAATGGTAGTTTGACCCAACTGATCCGGAAGATCCATTCCCTGATGGTGAGGGCTCTGTTCATCTCTGGCAAGGTTATGAAGATGGATGGTTCCGTCTACTGCAACAATACATTTCGAAAAAGTTACTTTGGATTCGGTATCATGAAGTTCCTGGTGGTGGGCATTTGATGTTTCATGAGGTTATTCACTGTGAAGCCATCCTAAGGGCGCTTTGCAATGACAAGAACACTCTTTATAGTGAAGCCAAAGTAAGTGATTTTCTAAGTTGCAAAGCTTCTAAGCCAACTTTTGAACTATCAACTAGATGCTACATTTGGTTATATTTGAATATTTTTGAGGTAATAGATTTTTTGTTATATTTTGCGTTCAAAATTTCAAGCAACAACTTGTTAGTCTTTTTCTCTTTGTTTGAACAGTGATGTATAAACAACATTTCTGCATATATATCTTTTAAGTGATTGCATGTATTCGGAATTTACGTTGTAGTGTCATGGTGAACCAAATAAAAAATAAAAAATCATCTCATTTGGCAGATCATACCTCACTTGAAAGTATGTAGTCCATCACACGCTACTACGCTAGAGATAAAACAATATATACACACATGTATATTTAAAATACCAAAACAAGTACACCCTGTTGTGATATTTAAAAAATAAATAAATAAATAAACTATATCTGTACACAGTAGTGAAAAGACCAGACAATGTATATCTATTGTTGCAGTGGGGTCCACAACTCTACGTCTTGGTTACCTGTCTACATTATATCTATTGTTGCAAAATCGCTAAAAGATTAAAGGAATCAGTAGAAGATTACAAAAATCGATAATAGAAAATTATTATCATATATTATATGAAAAATGATTTACAACTCAACATGCAAGCAAAAATATGAATAAAGCAAACATATTTGCTGCATGTCGAATTGCAGGACCATGCAATAATTTCTCCTTCAATTAAAGTGATCCCAAAAATCATTGGATTCTGTTTAATGGTTTTAAAGCCTCCCTGAAACTCTGGTTTAAAAATCATTTAATGCAATAGTTGAAATGATATATATATTAAGCTGTCATAAATATCCTAAGCCCACCACAACAGCGGTAGGTGGACGTCACTGCCAGTGACCAACCCATAATTATACCAGCCTTGAGTGAATACAAGATATTATTTTATTTTTTTTCCATGCTGTCATAATAAGCAAAAGAATTTAACATTAAATGATATTTTTATTGAGTACATTTACAATTGTTCATACAAGTTTTCATTTATTTTGAAAACACCGCATGATAACTTCATTATCTAGACTATCAAATATATATTTTTCAACAGATACACTTAAATTATAACAAATCAATTGATTTCTCATTGGATTTCGCAATTAATTGCTTACAATAGTCATAGCAAAAAATGCACGCGAGAGAGACGATTACCATGGATGTGAATTGGTAGAGAGTGAGAAAACGAGAGGGACTCGACTACTTTAATTTATTTTAAGTCCCAAATATATAAGTAGGACAAAATTATATAGTGGGGCAATTTTAAAATTTTAATAAAAATTATAGGTTATAATGTAAAATAAATAAAAAAAATTCGCCCCCACTGAGCCCTTTATAAGTCCGTCCCTGCTCACAGCCATGTCAGACATCTAAAGATTATCCATCACTTTTATAAATTTCCCTAGAGTGTTAGGTGGACCTCACAGCTATTTGCAAGGTATGTGAGACACCTCACAGGTATGCGCAAGCTATGTGAGACACCCGACTGCCCGTTGTCCGTTACTTTTACAATTTTCCCAATACTCATTGAGATCAAAATTTCCATTTCTCTTATTTTTCTCTTAATTGCTATGTGATTGAAGATTTTGATGTGCCTTCTAAAGCTGTTCTTGGTCTTCTTTTCTTGTGATATTTTGTTGAGACTGATCGATCCTGTTGTTAAAGGGATGTTTACAGAATTAATAACATTTTTAGTGATAGGTTTCCTGATATGGGCATATCAGACCTTGAAGCCTCAATCTCCAAAGGTCTGTGGGTCACCAAATGGTCCACCTGTTACTTCACCTAGACTCAAACTCAGTGATGGAAGGTATTTGGCTTACAAAGAGATGGGTGTTTCCAAGGAAAAAGCCAAGTACAGAGTCATTATCACTCATGGCTATAACAGCAGCAAGGACCTCTATGTGCCACTCTCTCAAGTATATACTCCTCTCTCTTACCCAACTCTATGCATGTTAATTTGATCACTATTTAGAAATTCCTCTTTATAATTTTATATTTGTAAAGCTTAATATCAATCTCAATTGTAATTGCCTTTAGTTATCCTTTTGTTGTTTTGTTTTTGGAAGTGTTGTCTTCCTTCTTCTGTACATTCTGTTACAATAAAGATGTTTGAATGGGTAATAACTTGGCCCTTAAAAGTCTTACTTTGTAGATTATGTGTATGAGGAATTAGTTAGAAGTTAAGCCATCTATCTCAATCAAGATGTTTGAATGGGTAATAACTCGGGCCATCTGGAGAAAGAAATGAATTCAGTTGAAATCAACTGAAGTCATCCAATTGATCTACTTGATGGGACCAGTCAAATGGTGGGTTCATCTCATTTTTATGGTAATGTCTAGGGCTAAGGATGAATTCAAATGTAAAATTGTTATCACCCATTCCTTTTGTGTTGTTTTTGTTCTAACACTGCCATTCTCCAATTACCTTCACAAGCCATGGCCTTGAGGCATGCAAAAATCCTACCACCAGCTGCTAGGGTAAATGATATACTGCTTATAACTATCTTTAGATTCGGACCCATAGCGTCACCTGATAAGGAAAGTTACAGTTCCCATGTGACATGCACAAATTTGACAAATTTTTTATGAAGATTGCCTTGCATATAATTAGTTTTATATTTCACCACCCTCTTAATTTCACTGTATAATTACAAGAACAGCATGGATTGTTGTTTGTTTCATTAATAATTGGTCTTAAATTGAAAATCTGCTAATTGGAAGAGCAAATTTGGATTTAGCTTGGGGGAGTCATTTAGTCATAGAGCAAAATTTTCTCTATAATGATTTTGATGTTTCACTTCTCTGTTCACTAGAAGTTGAAGATTTATTATTGTGTTCAGAAAACTGTTTCAAAAATAATATTGACAGATTTTCGGCTATTTATGAATATTTATAAAAGTTAAAGACTAAAGAAGTTTGCATCTAAAAAATGTTGTTTGCTAAATTTCGAAATCTAGATAAATTTACATTTGGGGACATCAATTTTGTGCTAGTACTTGGTTATTAAAAGTTCTACTTGATTAATTGAATGTTATGCTTCATGTTTCCATTATTTTGACAGATTCTTCAATTTATCCACGATGTGTTAATTTCTTAGAAATGCATTTCACAGCCATTGGCAACTAAATTATCTGATTCTTGGGCCAATATTCAACTTTAAAGACACTTACTTGCACATTAGTACAAGACTTTGGTCAGAAAATTATGTTTGATGTCTCTATGGGTGGAGCATTGACAACAATATACAATTATAGACTATGAATCAAATGAATACCTGTGGTTTTGTCAAGCAGGAACTATTGGATGAGATGGGCATATATATTGTGACATTTGACAGAGCTGGCTATGCAGAAAGTGATCCAAACCCAAAGCGCTCAGTGAAGAGTGAAGCCTTTGATATTCAAGAACTAGCTGATCAATTGCAGCTGGGACCCAAGTTTTACGTGGTTGGGCTCTCCCTTGGAGCTTACACCACTTGGGGTTGTCTCAAATACATACCAAACAGGCATGTTCTTGCTCTGGTTTTTTCATAATTTAATAGAACTGCAAGAGTTTTAAGAATTTGATTTGATTCATACTGAAATTTGAGTCAACTTTGAAAATTTTATTTAATATAAAAGTTATGAAATCTACAAATTTCCGAAACTTGGCATTTTTGAATATGAAAACCACTTTTTCAGGCTAGCTGGGATGGCTCTAGTAGTTCCATTCATCAATCCCTGGTGGCCTTCTTTGCCAACCAAACTCTGCACTGAGGCCTTCAGAAAATTTCTCCCAAGGGACCAATGGGGATTTCGCGTCGCGCACTATGCCCCCAGACTATTTTGGTTGACCCAAAAATTGTTGCCTTCCACAATGATGATGTCTTTGGAGGATTTCATGGAAAGAAACCCCGAAGTTTACAGAAAATGTGATATGGAAGTGCTTAGTAGGATGTCACAAATTCTGATGGATAATGGGGTATGGGTTCCTCATTGTTGTTTTAATGACTGCCCTTTGTTTTTATGTTCAATTTTAAGAGCAACGAGTTTTGTTGCTTATAACTGGTAGTTTTTCAGACGCTGACTACAATTTCTGTTTTCTGCCGTAATTACACCATTCTAGTTTATTCGTACGTGCCTTTACATTCTTTGCAAGACAAATTTGAATGATTTTGGGTTTTCTATCCTCTGAAAACAATTTTCAAATTTTTTCTCTAAAATCATCACTCTCAGTTGGTTTAACTATCAACTAAAAGAAATTTTTTGCTTTTCTACTCAGAAAAATGAACTAGTTTTGGTCATGTTTTTTATGCAGCATAAGGTACAGCAGCAAGGTGTCTATGAATCCCTCTATCGAGACGTGATGGTGTTATTTGGCAAATGGGAGTTTGACCCAACAGAGCTGGAAGATCCGTTCCCTGATGGTGAGGGCTCTGTTCACCTCTGGCAAGGTTACGAAGATGGGATTGTTTCCTTTCAACTGCAACGATACATTGCGCAAAAGCTACCTTGGATCAAGTATCATGAAGTTCCTGGTATTGGGCATATGATGTTTCATGATGATGTTCACTGTGAAACCATCCTAAGGGCACTTTGCAAGGAGAAGAACACTCTTTAATATTGATTTTCTAAGTAGTAAAGCTTTTAAGTTAGTTCTTGAACAATCAAAGAGATGCTACATTGGATTATATTTGAATGTTTCCGACGTAATAGACTTTTTATTATCCATTTGCATTCAAATTTTCAAGCAACTTGTTAGTCATTTTCTCTGTCTGAACCGTGCTGTACAAACAGCATTTCTGCAGATATATCTTTTAAATGATTGCAGATATTCGAGATTTACTTGGAAATTTAAAAAGAACCTGGTTGTAAAAAATAAAAAATCATCTCATTTGGAGATCATATCAGAATTTTATAATGAAGACGACTTCCACAAAAGATATGTTACACGTGCACAGGATGCATACATGTGTGTGTATTGGAATGGCGGGTGAGAATAGAACTAGAATATGGTGCAATGGAATGTTCGTTATGGTTAGTACCATTTTTGGTTGGTCAGTGTGGGAGGTTGGGTAGTTGGAATGACCTGGTCGACCTACTTTAAGAACTTAATTCACATCTCCTTTTATATTTCGATTATGTTCCTATCACATTCTTGAAGAAAGGCAGGTAGTTAGGTTCCAACTAAAAGTCAAAACTGATGGACTATAAAAAAAGAGTGACCTCAAGAATCAGTAGAGCCCCTGATAGTCGACTAAACATAAGGTATTATCTTCATTGCTTGAAAGCTATTTCATGTGACCATTGAATTCAGATAATATTAGTTTTTTTACACAGTTAATGTAGGTGTCTGTGTTCTCTCTTACAGGGATGTGGTCTGAGGCAGTGGCAATATTGGGGATTGGCATTGTGATATGGGCATATCAGGCCATAAGGCCTCCCCCTCCAAAGATCTGTGGGTCGAAAAATGGTCCTCCTGTGACTTCACCTAGAATCAAGCTTAGTGATGGAAGGCATTTGGCTTACAGGGAAAGAGGTGTTGCTAGAGAAAATGCGAAGTACAGAGTTATTGTTGTTCATGGCTTTGACAGCTCCAAGGACATCTACTTGCCACTCTCTCAGGTGTGAACTCTCTATTCTTAAAACCAAACTTTTTTGGTAATGTGACTGGGGCTTTTGAAAAACACCATCGTCGTCCTCATCATCCTTTGCCTTAATCCCGTATCAATGGGGTCCGCCACATGAATTATCTCTCCCCTATCTTTTCTAGTACGTGCCATTTTACGTACTACGTTTAAATTTTCGAAGTCCTTTTTAATAACCTAATCGCTGAACAATATTCTTGAATTTTGAATTTTCATAGGAAGCTTCAATTTCTTCAGAAAGGATTTCATAATAATTCTCAAAAGATATGTTCTATCTTAATCATAATATATTAATCACTCACTATGTGATAAATGCATTCGTTTAAAGCAGACGCTTAAAAATTACATACGCGTTGCAGAGAAATGAACATAACCAGTCGTGGCCTGCAGGAACTGATAGATGAGCTGGGAATATACATTCTGACATTTGACAGAGCTGGGTATGGAGACAGTGATCCTAACCCGAATCGCTCAGTGAAGAGCGAAGTGTTTGATGTTCAAGAACTTGCTGATCGGTTGCAGTTAGGAGAGAAATTTTATTTGATTGGAGTCTCCATTGGGACATACACCGCCTGGGGTTGTCTCAAATACATACCACACAGGCATGTTCGTCAATTCAAGTCTAGATTTCAAGAACCGCATTAATTTATTTTCATTTGAAGGAATTTAGAAGCTATTAAATCTGACATTTCTTCTATTAGTACTTCGTGAACTTAAATGAATGTTACATATTTGGAACATTGCTTCAAATTTGAATTACGACTCATGCCTTCATTTACTTTAAACCATGCAGGCTAGCTGGTGTTGGTCTAATAGTTCCAGTCATAAATTTCTGGTGGCCTTCTTTTCCATCTGAACTCTCTGCAGAGGAGTACAAGAAACAACCTAAGAAGGACCAATGGAAACTTCGTATCGCACACTATGCCCCTGCACTATTATACTCTTGGATGTCCCAGAAATGGTTTCCTTCATGTTCAATCATGGCTAGAGATCCAGTAATTTTCACCAAACGCGACTTTGAAATCTTAAAGAAAATGTTACAAGTTCCCAATCCTAATGAGGTAGCTTTCCTAAATCTTAATAAAAACCTTTTTCTTCTTCTTCTTGTTTAAAGTGTCAAAAACAAGTTCTGATGATTTATGATGGTTGCGACGATCTATTGTCTCTCAATTGCAGCATAAGATACGACAGCAAGGTGAACACGAGTCCCTCTACCGCGACTTGATGGTGGGTTTTGGCAGTTGGGAATTTGATCCAATGGAACTGAAAAGTCCATTTCCTAACAATGAGGGCAGTGTCCAGCTATGGCAAGGTTGTCTAGACACTCTGGTGCCATCTCAAATGCAGAGATATGTCGCGAAGAAGCTGCCTTGGATTCGGTATTATGAAGTTCCTGATGGTGGACACTTGATCGTCCATGATAATGGTTTATGTGAAACCATGTTCAAGGCACTGCTGCTCAGAGAAGAACCCACTATAGTGTAGATTTGATCAGATGATATGGTGTCTCTAAGTTTGAAATTTGCAACTTGTTTATCATCTATGAGTGTGTGTTTGTGTGTTTTTGCTAGTAATGGAAGTCTGTTGCACTAATACTAACGAGTGGACAACTAATATGAATGAGAAAGGACTGCATTAGTATGAAACTATTGATCAAATGGAATGAAAGTATATGCTCGGTTCAACAAATACAAATCAATCTTCATTTATTTTTTATTTTTTTATTTTTATTTTCTAATCATCCTTAAGCCATTATGAATCAAACTGCTCAAATTTTCAAATTCATGTAGGTGAGTATAAATTGTGGTTATTGAGAAAACAAAAGCAGTGCTCACTATTGGCATTTTTTCTCTTTGTTCTAAAGAAGATCCTCCTATTTTTCTTACCATTTATTCACATTTTAGCAAATCAAGAATTTGAATCTTGGAGGATGTTTTTCACAAGTTCAAGTCAAAAAAAAAAAAAAAAATAGAACACTTGGGACCATTTAGATGGTTATACTCCAATTTTCAATTTTGAACAAATTTTGTTTTTATTTATTTGTTTTAGCTAATTTTCTCAGTTATAACCAGAAATAAACTTAAAAATTTTGTGTTTTTGCCTCGCTAGTGGTAATTTTTTTAATCAATACTTACGCATTTAATATTTATATATGAACCAGATAAGCATAATGATGCATAAAGTTCTTGCCCCATTTTATCATTAATAAACACAACTTACAAATAAATAAATAAATAAAAAGAAAAAAAAAAATCTATTGATGCACCATGCCTGAACCAAACTCACAAAAAAAAAAAATAAAAAAAATAAAATAAAGCGCTGGGACCAAACTTAGCTGGGCTGGACCTTGTTGTCGATAACAGTATTCGGGTCGGTTAACTTTAAACAGATCCATACCTAATTGTCCAAACCATTGGAGCCCAGATGTAGAGGGTGGATTAGATTAGACACTCTTTTGGATATTTTTCTCTTTTGCCAAGGAAATGATTTATAAGCCCAAAACTGCTGGGCCAAAAGCATCCCATCTCCCCCATCCATGGGACTTGGTAAGCTTTCAGCCCAATACTGCAAACGAAGTGTTGGGCTTGTGTATCAGACAGCTCTATTTCTAAATATTTGTGAGAAATTATTATTATATGGTTTGGACAATTACAACTCGTACAAATAAAATATTGAATGAATTTTACACATTTATTTTTTAACTTATTAGAGACGGAATGGACCAAAAAATTTTTGAGCTGCAACCGTGATGCCAGTCATATTCCATTGTGAAAGTGTGAAACGGTTTTTAGAAATTATTGTAATTGCAGTTAATGGTCGGAAAAAATCCTCGAATCAAATCCTAAAAAAGTTAATTATATATTGTCAGTGTCGTGATGGCTCCAATTTAGATCATTTGACAAGGCACTTGTAAATTGAAGTATGTACTATGTAGTTCATCACACGCTATAGATAAACAATATGTATACACGTACTCAAAAACATAAAAAGGCAAAGCACACCATGTTGTGATATTTTGAAAATAAATAATATCTTTGCCCTATTGTGAAAAGGACAAGGCAGTGTGTATCCATTGTTTAACTAGTTCTATACTCTCCAGCAAGGCACCCAAAGAATATCCTTAGAATTTGGTATAAACCCAAAACAATTATTCCATTATTCCAACAACGATGATTAGAGAGAGACACACACACATATATATATTTATGTCTGAAATATTAATAAATTGATTGAATGTGCTAATTGTTACCTGTGGAGAAAACAATAATTATATAACATATGAACTAATTTTCACTGCACTTAATTTATCATGATGGGAAAAAATTCAAAAAATGTTATGCTCTGAACTTTCCCTTTCATATATAAATTTTCAATAAAAATTATATATATATATATGCCTCTTACTTGACCAATTATATATTTAATTAAAAGAAGTAATTTACAGTGGTTAAGTACTATATAACAAACTAGAAGCAATAGTGCCTAGAGTGATGAATATAGAGGTCAAATAAAATTTGATTGAAGGACCAAAAGTAACCATGAGCATACTATACAACATAATTAGAGTGGGTCAGTAGGCTAGTAGTGGGTACAATCTTGATTGTGATCACATGACATAAAATGTAAGTCGGTGAAGTGCAAGAGGATGAACATATATCCCTTGAACTTTTGAAAACTCTGTATAAATTGCCGCCTCCCAATAGCTTACCGTCAATTTTGATTAATTATTTTATTAAAAATTCAAAATACCTTTTTTTATTTTTTGGGATGGGGAGTTTTTTTTTTTTTTTTTTTTTTTTTTTTTTTTAAAGTATTTATCAATTTATGATAATAATAAAAAAAAGATAAATAGATTTGTAACTATCATTTTTTAAAACGATTAACTTATTATTAAAATTGTATTATTTATAATAAAACTTATTATAATCAGTTTAAACTTTTTTTTATAGTAGAAAAATATTTTTTATATACAATATATTGATGAAAATTAATAAATTTTAAAAAATACTAGTACTTTTCATGTAATATATTCATTAAAATTATGCAAATTTAATGAATATATGTCATCAAATTAGTATGAAATTTTTTCATAATTTATTTAAATAAGAAAAACAGATTAAGTATAATTCAATAAGAATGACCATTATGGTTATTTAATGAAATATGTTATAGATATTAGAGTAATTTGTAACAAAATGTGATGGTTTAAAAAGTATGCACAAAATATAGTTCGGGGTGTTATTTACAAATTAAGGGTGATAATATTGACGCTTCAAAAAATATTATAGTGCTCCATCCATTATTTTATTAAATTAAAATGACAAAATAAGTTCTAATCAAACATTCCAAAATTGCGTTTTTTTTTTTTTTTTAAATCGTTTTCCCTTTTCTCACCCTAACTTCCTTTCATGGCTCCTTGCTTACCTAAAGTAGTTTACTTTATTCACGAAGACAAAATAAACACGGTGATAAACAATAAATATCTATGCATTGAATCCAAAAGAAAGATATAGACAATCATTGACCAAATCAATTTATTCTTTCTAAAGTTTTAAGCAAAACAGGTTTTTTTTTTTTTTTTTAATTCTACATACGATGCCAATTTGATATGACCCTCGAACATTTTCATTGTTATGCGATTAGTTTCATATTTGTTACAATTGAAAAAGTATAAGCAAATAATATGTATAAAAATAAAGTTGATTTTGCATTCAAATTTCTAATCAGCTCCTTAAATTTTGAAAAGACAGAGAATTAAGGAAGAATCCGAAATTACAAGGAAAAAAAAAAAAAAAAAAAAGGTTGCAGAGGTCTGCTACAAGGATGGAACAGGAGAGTAGAATAGAGATAAGTGAGATGGAGATGGAAACAATAGAGTAGAAATCCATTACAACACAACAAGAATATTTTTGACATTTTATTTTATTTATAATAATAGTGGAGTGCAAGAGTACTGTTTTAAAGTTAGAATATTACTGTTTTTTACAAATTTGAACATAATTTAATTTAATTAATTAATTAATTAATTTTTTTTTTAAACACACTTTATCCTAAAATATATATTCTGCCTCCATTGTTACGAATCTGCCTCCATTGTTTTCAAATTAAATAAACTCAATTATAGAGGATGGCTTGCCCCACACCATTTATGGAACAATGTGCGCTGGCATACAGAGTATGAGTCATATAAACATCTGTATTTCCGACAAAACCCATATCTTTTCTACAACTTAATTTGCAGCACATGATGCCAGCCAGCCAAGCTAAGGACATAATGGTTATTACCTCCTCAGTCTCACAAAGAGTATCTTTTTAAGAACATGTGACAATCCAATTTGTGAAAATCACAATTATCAAAGTGACACACTTTTTTATTTTTTTATTTTTTATGTATGTATGTATATAAAAACTTTCAATTTCATTTTCAAATTACAAGTTTAATCGTTCTTGTATTTCAAATTAAAACAGAAATTAAAGACTTATTTGATGCGTAATTTTTGAAACTGTTCTAAAAAATTCAGATAATAGAAAACAGTTTCCAAATACTAATAGAAGACAATTATCTAAAAATAGGTTTGTGTTTTTTATTCAATTTTTTGTTTTCAGTTTTTTGTTACTCTTCTTAGAGTAACAAACCAAACACACTTAGATTCTGAATACAGGACAAAAATAGGTCATTTATTTATTTTTAATCTGGTCAAAATCGAGTTAATAATTGAAATAAAAGGGAAAACTGTGGAAGTTAAAACAGTAACTGTGGATCGGAAATGTAAATGCAAGTTAATTAATTTTGTAAGTAACAAAAGGTGATGTTAATCAAAGTCCCACAGTATACACAAATAACCCATCTAAAGAAGTCACCTAATAAATACTAATTGGAAAGTCAAAGGTGAAGGAAGAAAGAAATAGACAGACTCTCATCTTTTCAGAAAATGTCCCTAAAATACTTAGAACAGCAGCAATTCCCCTGAAGAAGTCCTGTCTGGTGAGAGCTCAAAACCCTCTATTCTTCCTTCTTGAAAATATTACTGTAAATCATTAAATTCCTTTCTATGTTTGAATCACAGACTCACTTTTTTTTTTTGTCCTTCTTTTTTTGCCCCTTTTGGTTCAGGAATGAACAATGGTTCTCAGGAGAGTAGCTATTCTGCTGATGGGGTGTTTTGGAATTTCTGGTTGTCAGACCACAACAAGAGCCCTTCCACCTCCAGAGAGTATTAGTGGGTCATCTTCATCAGATGGTGATGTTGAAGATCCACTTGTTGATCCCCCAAGAATCAGATTGAGTGATGGAAGGTACCTAGCTTATCAAGAGAGAGGAGTCCCCAAGAACAAATCAAACTACAAAATTATTATTGTTCATGGATTTGGCAGCTCCAAAGATATGAGCTTTCTGGCATCCCAAGTATGTACAAACTTATAACTCTCTTCCTCAAATTTTTTTTTTTTTCTTATTATTGATCTCAAAATTATCAGTTAGATTTGCATATGTGTAGAACAAAAACACAGCCTCTGTGTGTGAGAGAGAGATATATATCAGTTCACAATAGGATGAAATTCATGAGAAAGCTAATGGGAAATTGTCAAAATTCTTAAAAAGTGCATAGGAATTTAGGAAATGTACAAGGAATGTGAATGCTAAGAGATCTCTTAACTTGGTAAAAGGATTAAAAAAGAAAGAAAAAGAAAAATTACATCCCTATTTTTACAGCATGTTGAATCTTCCTATATGAACATCATGTTTCTTGTGCATATCACACACACAGCAAATGGGAATTTTCTGGGCTCTTCCCAACTAATTCAGAGACTAATGCCCAAAGTTTTCATTCCTATTCTCAGAATAGGTTGCCTTGAATTGTGAAGTTGTGGTTGGAATTTTGTTCTATAACTATTTTGTAGCCTAGTATATAAGGGGGTGTAAGGTTTAGGGTGTGGTATGAGAGAACACTCAAAGCTGCAGTTTAGAGAGTGAGAGGGTTTTGGGGCTGAAACTTGTAATCATTTTATTTTATTTTATTTTTGGGCATTGTGAAAACTTTCGTTGGATGTAGACGTAGGCTTTACCCCGAACCATGTAAATCTTTGTGTTGTTCTGTGTGTGATGTGTATTTATATATTTATTTATGTGTCCCGTTTCTTGATTGCGATCTTGGTGTTGAGGTTGTGGAGTCTAATCACAAGCCCAGTTTACGTTGCCACTTCGCAGACTCTGGTCAGGGTTGATTGTTTTTTTGGGAGACTGTCTTTTACACCATTGGATGCCCTTTGTATTTAATTCCCCTTATTTTTTCTTGTTTAGGGTTTTTTTGTGGTTTTGAGAGGCAGCCGAATTGTCAGGTTTTCTGTGCACCCATTGTTGATAGTGAAATTTCTGATACACCTATGGATGTAGGCAAAACAATTTTGCCGAACCACGTAAATCTTGTGTTTTCTTGTGTGATAGTTTTCTCTTGATTGTTTTTCCATTCCCAACACTTTGTTCACGGCGTTTGTTGTAACAGGAAGAATTCCTGCTAATTTTGCTGTAAAATAAACACTGGACAAAAGGCACAAGGCAGCAATGCCATGCACGACAATTGCACATACAACAGAAGGTTTTTGTACAGTAAAAGCACCAGGGGATGATTTCCTCTTGTCTTTTTAGGCATCATTGTCATAAACATAATTCCAACTATATGGGCAATTCACAATTGCAATCAAGGCCACAAATATGGTTCAACACAGGTTCAAATTAACAAAATCAATCTCACAGTGCTTCAGTTTTCAGGATCTAATGGAGGAGCTGGGGATATATATTCTGATATTTGATCGAGCTGGGTACGGAGAAAGTGATCCGAATCCAAAGCGCTCCATAAAAAGCGAAGCATATGACATTCAAGAACTAGCTGATCAGTTACATTTAGGATCCAAGTTCTATGTAATTGGAGTCTCATTGGGTTCTTACCCCACCTGGAGTTGCCTCAAACGCATACCACACAGGCAAAAACCACTCTCACTACTTGTTATATAGCTTCTTGGCTCTTGAAATGCCAATCCTGTCTAAAAATCCGCTGCTTTTTCCTCAAAACCTCTCTTACAGGCTAGCAGGCGTGGCTCTAGTTGTTCCGGTTGTCAATTACAGCTGGCCTTCTCTTCCCGATGATGTAACAAACGATGATTATAGGAGAAATCTTGCCCGGTGGGCTCTCTGGACTGCACGATATGCCTCCGGACTACTATACTGGTGGTTGACTCAGAAACTGTTCCCCTCATCTACTGTCCTTGATAGAAATCCAACATTTTTTAGCAACAAAGACTTGGAGGTCTTGAAGAATACACCAGGATATCAATTGCTCAGTCAGGTAAAATACAAAACAATGAATAATAATGGAAAGTGCAAAGTTTATGTGCTAAGTATTATTATTGAGTAATTGATTTGTATTTATACATAGAATTACTGGGAAAATGATTGCGATACTAGTTTATATTTTGCTTCCATTTACAGAATAAGTTGAAAGAGCAAGGTGTGTTCGATTCTATCCGTCGTGACTTTATTTCAGGATTTGGCAAGTGGGATTTTGATCCACTGGACTTGAGTAATCCGTTTCCTCAAAATGAAAGCTCTGTTCACATCTGGCAAGGTTATGAAGACAAAGTTGTGCCTTTTCAATTACAAAGATATGTTTCGAAAAGGCTACCATGGATTCAGTATCATGAAGTTCCTGATGGTGGACATTTGCTTGTGTATGATAGTGCTGTCTGTGAAGCCATTTTAAGAGCTCTCTTGCTTGGAGAAGATCCTCCATTATATAGACCTAAATCAGCCAATTGATTCTTTCTTTTAACTTTTTCTCATGTGTATCATCCAAATTGATTGTTCATATCTTTTTCCTTGTCATCAAATTGATTAGTCTATTAGCAGATTGATTTATTTATAGGGAATGACAAACAAGTACTAAATTACATTTGTTTCAAGAAAATTCAAAGGATATTACTTTAATCCTTTCTGATTCGACTTTTTTACTTGTTCTCTACATAGTAAGCCAATGCTATTTTGTTGTTTGAGCATTTTGTTGCTAGTAAGGTAGGTCTGAAAAATGCATTTGTATGCTACATATATTTTGTAGTACATGCATTGGGAGTGGTATATCATATTTTTCATAATGATTCGATGCCCCAATCGGTTTTTTGGCGACTCCAATGAGCGGTGTTCAGCAAGGACTCCTACATAATAATCAAATGAGATTTGACTGTCTCTCCTGTTATTGTGTTTTCAATCGATGTTTGGCATTCCAGTTGGCTTTAAAAACCGATCGACACTTTTATCATTTTCCCTTTTATTGTTCTCGTTCCAAGGGAAAGTCATCTTGTAATCTTTAGTATTTCCAATGAGAAAGAAGATGCTTTTTGATCCAAAACCAATCTTCTTTGAAAGTTTCTCTTGCCATTGGAGTTGAGTGATTACTCTTTCCAATCAAGCATGTTAAAAACATTCAGGTTTCAATTGAGCCTTATTATCAGTTCCTCTGTTATTTCTCAAAAATTTCATTTTTATCAGCTTTTGTTATGAGAAATTTAATATTTAAATTAACTTTCAATATACCTATCTGAAATTTTAAAAGCAACAAGATATGAACAAAAATTGGCCTACAATAGATTGTCCATTCATAATTATCAGACACGATTTAGTGGTGCAAAACAATATTTAGTGTTGGAACTTGGAAGTTTCTCTTTCTGTCCTTTTTATGTGTGGTTACTGAGAAGCTTTCATTATAGAAGGGGAAAAAAAATAAGGGGCATAATGGGTACAACTGAGCTAGCAAATCTGCCTAACTAAATTTTGGGCTTGCATTACATAAAACCTTAGGTACTTCAGATAACTTGCAACAAGAAAGCCCATTCATGTACCATCTATGATCTAACATAACAAGACCAAATTTATAACAGTAATAATTCGTTCCACAGCTTGCAAATTCAGCTGTAATAAGCCTCTTACAAAACTGGATTGTATTCCTAGAAAGTAAACAAAAGAGCCCATCATGAGCCAAAAGTGGGCTGTCCCCTGATACTGCAAGTTTGCTTTTTGAAAGTAACAAAAATGGGAAGGTATTTTAGATAGGTGTTAGTTGGGAAGTTTTATATACTCGCTCGTATGTACTCTGTTCATTTTTCGTCTGGGGATTCGATGTGGGATGAACCCTTTTAACAATAGGCTACTACTTTAGTTCGCAGTCACAGTGTAACGGATCCTGATGAATATTAATGTAAACCAACCAAACTGACTGATTGTATAACGATATGGGACTTTTGAAAAAGGGTCATGTATCGACCTATACGGCGAACCATGACTATTACTATTCTAAATAGAGTCTTCCAAGTATTCTAGTTGCATCCCAAACGCTGGAAAAATGCTTTAGTTTTTGCTACAAAATTCTTTTAAGCAATCTGACAATGGTTTTTAGCTCCAAAAGGTTATAGCAGAATGGGGACTATTTGCTACAAAATTGTAATGTCGCAAAATATTTACTACAAAAATTAGTTTAATCTCAAACAGTTTAACAGTTATTGCAACATAATTTCATTTCTGTAACCTTGGCTATAATTACCCACGAAGCTGCCACAAATTATTTTTGTTGCCAAATGGTATTACAGTTTTTTTTTTTTTGTCCTTTTAGTTATTAAAAAAAAAAAAAAAAAAAAAAAAAAATAGACCTTTAGCTACAAAACCTTTCATAGCCAAAAGTCTCCCCTATTGTACAGCTGAGATAATAGACTGCAATTTTCTGCTTATTTTGCCTCTTTTCTCTGGTTAGCAGCCCTCTCATAGGATATGACCTCTCCATGCTATACCGAGGCAAGTATGCGACTTTCGATTGAATATAGTAGCAAAAATTGACAATTGGCATGAATAAGTATGTTGACGGAATCCATTTTTCTTTGTAACCAACCTTGTGGCTGATCTTTGCAGCCCTTGATGAAACCATTTGATCATTTTATAGTCTTATAATGAAAGTTATGAGGGAAAAAAATGAAAAAAGTCAACCTATTGCTTCCAGAAAGCTCAAACTATATAAACAGTCATGGCTGCAATTTTTGATGGTGACTAAACTGTTGACTATGAATTATATATGATAAAAACAAATTAAATTAACAATTTATTTAATTTTGATTAATGAAGAGTGCTGAATGTCACTGGATTTTGGTTCTCCTTCATTTATTACTTCCTGTTTCTTTTATGAAATTATCGGGTGAGCTTTCCCAATCATTCAAGTCAATGCCAAACAATCCATTACAAATGATGTTGATCTAGACATAGTGATTGTTGAAGTAAACATTCATTAATCAAGTCTTTGATCAAATAATGTTAGTTGTGTATGGTTATTGGAGATTACCAAACTTTCATCAGATTTTGTTAATCCAATTCATGAGGTTTAAAGGAATGAGTAGTTGAATTCATTCAAATTGTTATATGTATTAATTGCTTCTAAAAAGCTCAAACTAATGAGAAAAATACAAGCTCACCTGCCATGATGGGGCATTCGTGGCTGAAGTTTTTGTCGGTAAATTAAACAGTTGATTATGAATTATAATATACACAATTTGAGTTAACATTTTATGACTTTAGAAGATAATTAAAACTATCCAATGTCAGTGGATTTGGTTCTCCTTCATTTGGCTCCTATTTCTTTTATGAAAGATGAGGTGAGCTTTTGCAATTGCCAAACAAGCTCTTACAAAATTAGTACTGTTCTATAGCATTCTAAATACTAATAATTAATTTGCAATTTTCAAATAGCAATTAGATTTACAAATCAAGATCAAGTATTTGACAATCTGATGACATGGTCAACCAAAACGACTGCTTGAAATATTTCTACTGTTAGTCAATTTCTGCACATCAAAACTGACAAAAAGAAAAATCATATCCAAACACAACACTAATGTCCAAGATCTTATACTATGCATAAAAAAACAGCTGTTTAACTATAAAATTGTATAATCAATTAAGACCAAAAAATTTAATATATGATTTTTTGCCACCTTGACATATATAAATTATATAATACATTTTGCTTTAAATGTAGTGTCGCTATATATGATTTTTGTAGGCAGTTCTTGTTGGGCTATATGAGATTAATTTACTATCAATGATAGGCGTTTACAATGGAAAACTCTCACAATTCGACCGCCTCTCAACACACACAACCCCACAATTTGGCTGCTACTCCGGAAAGCAATGCACCCGGGACCCCTGCGAGTAGGGACGGACCCAGAATATTACCCGGGGGGTAGCAATATTTTATGAGTATTCAATGAAAAAAGAAAAAAATAGCAAGGTATATTAATAAATAAAAAAAAAAAAAAAAAAAAAATTCAGGTGGGGCAAATTGCCCCCCTCACATACACATAGGTCCATCCCTGTCTGCGAGCTGAACATGCATCTCAATCCTACTCCTAGTGAGCTCACCAAGTAGCTCAACTGACGACCGGGGTCAGCTAAGCGGTAACAATAATCAAGCTTTTGATTCAGGCTCCACAAACTCAACAGTAGAACGTGAACGAAAATTAATGAATCTCACTTTCTACAAGCACTAGAATCATTTAAAAACTAGGTCATCAGAATCATTTCAAAAGCATCCCATTATCCCATATCTTGGGTTAAAATCTATGTCATTTTAGATTTCTTTAGAGTCATACTCAAAAAGTAATGACAAAAGCAGCATATATTTACTCTTTGATAAACCAAACCTAATCTGTAAAAAGATGTATACATTTAAATAAAGAAAGATAATATGATAGATATTGCACCAATAATCTAATGGGGTTTTTGCAAAAGCACGCTGATAATGACTAATATTGGTAGTAGTTTAATCTATAATGCTCATAATGGAACCAAAAGCAGATTGACCATAAAGTGTATATATATATATATATATATATATATATATATGTATAATTTGCATTAACGAATCTAGCATTGATAGGTGAGACTAATCAGTCACAGGAGCATGCTAGTTGATGTCCTTGTCTTCTTCTTATACTGCACGCTAGCTGCAATACAGAGTATTATCTTAAACAAATTAAAATAAAGTAACAATATTGACATTTGCATAAGCAAAAATTAATTAGTGCCTCCTGATATATTATGGTTAAAGAAAATGTTATTTTTTATGTTTACCGTAATTTACTATGATATTAGTACTTGAAGTGCATCATATTAACAACAATTAAATTAAGGGTAATTTATCTGTGTTCGACACAAGGTGGCAGACGGTGATATACAATTGTAGAGGTTAGAAATTGATTGAAAATGATAGAATAGACCGTATAAGATACTCGTTAAAATTGTTTCTCAATTATTAAAATGGTTTCTGTGAATACTCCATAACAAAAACTTATCTCTATTTCAAATGAAAATCAAAACGCAAAATAAAAAGGGTAATGGTATTAGTATAGCTTTAAACTCTTATTGATCAAGAGATTTTTTTTTTTTTTTCAGTATCTACTCAGTCTCTTTGCTTTCACGGGTTCCTAAATTATAGGAGGTAGATTGAAACCCACGTTTTTTGAATTTAATTATATATATAGAAAAGTTTTTGTACTTTTTTGACCTTTGAGGTAAGCGTTTTATGTTGTTCGGGGTTATTATTATATACATGTGCAAGCGACGGTCAGGTGGGTAAACCACTGTAATATAATAAACAATTATTATAAAACCGTATTATGAATTAAGTCAATTTTTTAAAGGAGTGTTATTCTCGTGCTTCCCATGCTATCGAATTCAATCCCGTGACTTAGATTGTGAGGAGTCATGTATAAAAATATTTTTGATATTTTTTTAATATAGAAAGAAACTTGGTGCACAGAAAATTGTGGATTCTTATATAAAAATCAAAATGTTTGGACGACTATTCAAGATACTTTGTATTTTTTTCTAGAGCCATGCTTTGGCTTTACTTGGATCAAAAGTCTTAGGGCAGATCATGCTTTGGCTTTACTTAGATTATGATGAAA